TGCAGAACCTCAGACATAAAGCTAATGTTGGGAGTGGTAATGAAATGATGGGCTGACACCTTAGGATTAGTCAAAACTCTACATATGGTCATCCCAAATCTATGTCCACACTACCATACCCCACTTCAGATGGAATAGACAGAAAGGTAGTAGTCAGAAATCTTACTCTTAGATAGAAGAATGAAGGCTTTTTCTCTGGAGAAAATGAAGAAACTCAGAGAACAGATGTCTGATGTTTTGACGTTTTGTGAGTCCCTGGCTTTCTGTCTGATCACTAGCAAACAAGGCTGCCAATTGAAAATGAAATCAGACACAGAGGTTGAAGTCAACTTTGTAATGGGCAATTGAAAATCATCATTTTTTAAAAATATAAAACCACAATGTGAAAGACAAATAAGATAAATGAGGAAAAACTATCCTGGAAGAAAAAGAGAGAACTGAGGAGATAGGAGAATAACAGTAACAATAATATCCTCTAATTTGTAAACCAAACAGATTAATTTTCATTAATGATGCCATTACAAAAATAAGCAATTAAAGGAAACAAAGAGCTCTTGGAAATTAAATACTTGAATACTTAAATTTAAAATCAGCAGAAAGTTTAGAAAGTAAAGAACATTTCTCAGAAAAACAGAAGAAAACAGCAAAGAGCTGAAAAAAATTTTTAAATGCAAGAGACAGAAAAGACAAATCTAAGAGATCTAATATTTGACTGACAAGAGTTTCAGAAAAGAAAAAGGAAAAAAACAAATCAAATGAAAACAAAATAAAAACTTGCTGGAGCTAAAGAACTATAAAGCCCCACACTGAAAGGACAAACTGAATACCCAGAGAAATGATTTTTAAAGATACTGACAGAAAAGAACATCATTATGAAATTTTAGAATTCTGGAAGTAAAAAGAAGATCCTAAAAACTTCCACAGAGTAGCAGGAACTACAAAAAATGAAAACCTGAATAACTTCATAATTCTCATCTACAACACTGGATGCAAGATGGCAACAGACAATTCCTTCAGCCTCTATGGAAAAATTGTAGCTCGCTCTTTCAGTCTGGAGCTTTATCGTTCTTTACTTTCTTTTTTTAACATCTTTATTAGAGTATAATTGCTTTACAATGGTGTGTGAGTTTCTGCTTTATAACAAACTGAATCAGTTATAATATACATATGTTCCCATATCTCTTCTCTCTTGCATTTCCCTCCCTCCCATCCTCCCTACCCCACCCCTCTAGGTGGTCACAAAGTCTTTACTATTTTTTTTAACAACATCCTGCTCCAAGTTTTCTTCGTCTCTTTCCTGGAACACCTATTAGTCAAATATTAGATACCTCAGTTTGTCTCTTACTTTTTTCTTATATTTTAGAGCCCTTTGCTTGTTTCTACATCCTAAAAGATCATCAATCATAATGTAGGTTAAAGACATTTTCAGACATGCAAGGATGCATATATTTACCTTCTGTGCACTCTTTCTAGAAAGCATTTAAGGTTATGGTAATTCTTATACCAAGGACTACACTAAGAAGGAAAAGTCTTATGACCTAGGACACAGTGGATCCTATTCAGGATCATACACAAAGGAACTCCTAGGACTGTGGTCACGGCCTACCGCCACTGGCCTAGAGTGCAACACAAGAATATTGGACTCCATTTTTTTTCTATATAGCAAAATAGCTCTGATGAAACACTGTTGAGAAAAATAAACATTTTTATAAGAAAGTTCTCTAGTAAGATGTAAAACAATTAGCAACTTTAGCGAACAAAATTTTACCAGAAATAAAATGCAATCCAAGGTCAATACTTGACACTGCAAAAATCATTTATTTCTTATTAATGCAAGTATTGTTAGTTGATTTACCTAAAATTAAGATTTATGATTATTTTTCAAGGATGAGTGTAAAGCTGGAAGGTGGTGTAGGAGAGTAAATCCTCAGTATCCTAACAGGAAGCAGAGAATACAATATGTACAGATATATTATTTAGCAATATGGAGGGAATTGCAAGAAAATAGTTTAAAATAGTTGTCTCTACAGAAATTGGACTAGGGGTGGGAAAGAGTAAAAAATCGAACAGTGTTTCCCTATCATTTTAAGTCTTTTTGGGTTCTACTATGCTTGTCAATAGGTGTATCTTGAGTAAATATTTAAAATATATTTAAATAAACCTGTCATATTTATAGCTTTTATTGGAACATGCTGTGGTCTGAATGGTTGTGTCCCCCCAAAGTTCCTACGTTGAAATCCTAAAAAAAAAAAAAGAAAGATATCTTAATCACCAAAGATAAAATGGTAAGAGGACGTGGAGCTATTGGGGAATGCTTATGTCATCAGAGTTATGTTATGATAATGGGATTAATTCCTTATAAAAGAGGCTCCAGAGAGCTCCCTATTCCCTTCCACCATGTGAAAACATAGTGAAAACACACCAGCTATGAACCAGGAAGAGGGCCCTCACCAGAACGTGACCATGATCTTGCACCCTGATCTTGGACTTCTCAGCCTCCAGAACTGTGAGAAATAAATATCTGTTTTGATAAGCTATCCAGTCTGTGTTATTTTGTTACAGCAATCCAAACGGACTAAGACGGAGTATTAGCAAATTGCTATAGAAGAAAGAAAAAGTACAGAGAGTTTATAATGTTCACTTTGAGGAAGTAATCATTTTTAACCTCAATCTTCTGCCTATAATAGCATTCAGTACAGCATGGATGAAAGAAAGCTAATAACTAAAAAATTAGAATTTCATAGAGTCACATTGCCTAGGCAGTGCTTCTGAGTGCTACTAGTGAAGTTTCTCTTTTGTGTGAATCAGGAAATTATTTGAATATGAGAGGGTCCAGACTTGATCTCCTAAAGTATAGTGACTGTGGCTTCTTAATCTCTTCATTCTTGAACATGGTGAGTTCTATGAGCTCAATAAATATTTACTGAATTGAGTTAAATGTGAAGAAATATCCTTGCAATATTTTATTCTAGAATATAAAGCAAGCAGTAGCAATAATAGCAGAAAATCTCTGCCTTATTTTAATACCTGTCAGTTTCCCCTCAATGTAATGTTATTTCTTTGAGCCCTAAGCGTTCTTAACTTGCCAATTAAATATCTATTGTAAATTTTGAATGCCTCTCCTTTTGAAGGAAGCAGAAACATACTATTAGATTTTGTTTTCAGCTTCATAGATTTATTTTTCTCTCTGGCAACAAATTCAAAATTTTTATCCTAAAAAAAAAAACTGTGTTTTTTTATTAACTATGTATGTCCACAATGCAAACTTTAATGAGGTAAATCTCCAAAATGTGTTTGTGAAATATTGCCTAACATATTGATTCCTTTTCTGATAAAGAACCCATTAAAGGGTGTATTTAAATACCTCTAAAACACTTTCTTGTTTACTTTACATGTGGTTTAAATTCACTATTAAAAATTTATATAACAATGATAGATATTTTTGAAGTTTCACATAATCTTATTATCAAATAGATAATATTCTTAACTATTTTGCAGCCAGATATTTCTTTCTGTGTATTAAATACTTGAAATATGTATATCTGAATAGAATACATTAAAAATGTGCTTTTCACAAAAATGGTGTTATCTTCTTTTGTAACCTTTTTCATGTGCAAAGCTATCACTAACATAATTCATTTTCATGCCAATACATAGATCTTCATCATCATTCCCAGTAGGTGGGTAGATTCTATTATATGGATATACATTATTATTCAGCCAATATCTTAATGTTAGAAACATATGCTGTCTCTAATTTATAACTAATGAAAACATATTAGAATAAGCCACCTTGTGCATACATCTTTGAGTATGTGTATTTTTATTTCTTTAGGGTACGTTGCCTAGAACTGAAATGTTGGGTCAAATTATCTGCACATTTTGAAGACTTGCCCTTGAGAAAATTGGTCTTAGCTTACATCCCACAAGGAATTACAAAAATGCCCTTTCATTCACATAGTTTACAATACTGGATATCATTATTCTTTTTAATCACTGTGGCTCTGTTGGGTAAAAATATGTAACTTGTATTTCTTTGATTATTATTGAGTTTGAACTTTATTTTTAGTGTTTATAGGGTTTCTTTTGTGAATTGACTGTTCATGCTCATTTTTATGTTATTATTAAGCTGTGAAAAGCTTTTTAAAAAATTCCAACTTTCTCATTATGAATAACATTTCAGTTTCTTACAATTCTGGATTTTAATCTAGGTTTTGGCAAGTTTTATGAACATTCATATGCAGAAGACTCACTAACGTCTTGCATTCACAAGACTTGCCAATGACGAACTGTTTCTTAGTCTTGTAGTAATAGTAAAAAACTATGCTGAAATGTTCTCATTTGTTTGCCATAGAAACAGAGGCAGGGAGACAGATCTATTGAAGATTTTGATTATCAAGATTATGACTTAAATTTCTGTTTATGACAAAGCTCTTTTGAATGGCTTAAAATTTAAAATAGATCATCTCAGCTGCCTTGAAAATTCATTTTCCCCATATTTTTATTCAAGCACTTAACCACATTTTCCTCAAAGAAATCCCTAATTTTTTCACTTGTTTTAAACTACTCTCAAATAACAAGGACTAAACTTTGGTAGCATTATATGAAACATATAATGGTTTGTAATGGTCATTCTCCCTAGAAGTAACTTTTTTCTCTCCTCTCATCCTTCTCTCCTTTTTGTCATTGTATTTCTTCATTAGTTTACCTAAATGATTTTAGTTCACTATAACCACAAGAAAAGCACATTGAATTTAAAACACAAGACAGCATTGTAGTGCACTGAATGGTGGCCCCCCAAAAGATGTGTCCTTTTTTTTTTTTTTCAGCTGTGCCATGTGGCATGTGGGATTTTAGTTCCCCGACCAGGGATAGAACCTGTGCCCCCTGCATTGGGAGTGCTGAGTCTTAACCCCTGGACCACCAAGTAAGCCCTAAGATGTGTCCATTTTAAATCTAATCTTTGGAACTTGTAAGTGTGACCTCATTTGCAAAAAGAGTTATTTACAGATGTAATTAAGTTAAGGATTTTGAGATGAGGAGATCATCCTGGATTATCTGGGCCCTAAATCCAATGAGAAATGTCGTTATAATAGACACACAGAGGAGATACACACAGCCAGACAGGTAGCAGGCAATGTGACCATGGAGACAGAGATTGGAGTAATGCAACCAAGAAACACCAAGGAATAACAACAGCTACCAGAAGCTGAAAATAGCAAAGAATGGAATTGCCACTGGGGTCCCTGGAGGGACTGTGGCCCTTGAGTTCAGACTTCTGGCCTCCAAAACCATGAGAGAATAAACTTCTGTTGTTTTAAGTGACCCAGTTTGTGGTCACTTGTTATGGCCAACACAGAAGACTAATACAAGCACTAAAACTGAAAAATCTCACAAATTAAGATGGAATCTTCCTAAATTCTGGAAAAATAAATAAATTATTTTGTAATTTGTCAAATTCTAAGTATTGTGTATGGCAAATTCTCTCTAGGCAATGTGTAGTACCCAATGTAGTGTTAAGAGTAAAATTAACCCTCTTTATCTTTGGGTTCTGCATCTATGAATTCAACCAACTGCTGATAAAAAAAAAAAAAAAAATCCAAAAAGTACCTAAAAGCAAAACTTGAATTTGCGGCATGCTGGCAACTATTTACATGCCAGTTACATTATATTTATAACTACTTATATATCATTTACATTGTATTAGGTATTATAAGTAATCTAGACATGATTTAAAGTATACAAGAGCATATGCATAGGTTACATGCAAATACTTTGCCATTTTATAAAGGAGACTTGAGGATCTGTGCATTTTGGTATCTACAGGGGGTCCTAGAACCAATCCCCTGCAGATACTGAGGAACAACTCCATAGACTCTGCCGTCCAACTACCTAAATTCAAGTTCCAACTTCACTGGGTGATTCAGGACAACTTTATTAACCTTTCTGAGTCTTGGGTTTCCTCATCTACAAAAAGCAGGTAATAAGAGAAACAACACAAATAGATGGAAATATATACCATATTCTTGTATTGGAATAATCACTATTGTCAAAATGACTATGCTACACAAGATAATCTACAGATTCAATGCAATCCCCATCAAATTACCAATGGTATTTTTCACAGAACTAGAACAAAAAAAAAATTTTTTTAATTTATATGGAAACACGTAAGACCCCAAATAGCCAAAGCAATCTTGAGAAAGAAAAATGGACTTGGAAGAATCAGTCTCCCTGACTTAAGACTATACTACAAAGCTACAGTAATCAAAACAGTATGGTATTGGCACAAAAACAGAAATATAGGTCAATGGACCAGGATAGAAAGCCCAGAAATACCTATGGTCAATTAATCTATGACAAAGGAGGCAACAGTATACAATGGAGAAAAGACAGTCTCTTCAATAATGGTGCTGGGAAAACTGGATACCAATGTAAAAGAATGAAATTAGAACATTCTTAACACCACACATAAAAATAAATTCAAAATGGATTAAAGACCTAAATGTAAAGCTGAATATTATAAAACTCCTAGAGGAAAACAAAGGCAGAACACTCTTTGACATAAATCACAGCAATATTTTTTGAATCCGTCTGTTAGAGTGATGGAAATAAAAACAAAAATAAGCTTCTGCACAGCAAAGGAAACCATAAACAAAACAAAAAGAAAACCTATAGAATGGAAGAAAATATTTTCAAATGATGTGACTGACAAGGGATTAATCTCCAAAATAAACAAACAGTTCACATACAGCTTAATATCAAAAAAAAAAATCAAAAAATGGGCAGAAGATCTAAAAAGACATTTATCCACAGAAGACATACAGATGGCCAAAAGGCACATGAAAAGATGCTCAACATTATTAATTATTGGAGAAATGCAAATCAAAACTACAATGGGTATCACTTCACACCAGTCAGAATGGCCATCATCAAAAAGTTCTACAAATAATAAATGCTGGAGCGGGTGCAGAGAAAAAAAAACCCTCCTACACTGTTGCTGGGAATGTAAATTGGCGCAGCCATTATGGAGAACTGTATGGAAGTCCCTTAAAAAACTAAAAATAGAGCTACCATATGATCCTGCAATTCCACTCTTGGGCATATATCTGGAGAAAACCATAATTCGAAAAGATACATGCACCCCAATGTTCACAGCAGCCCTATTTACAATAGCCAAGACATCAAAGCAAACTAAATGTCTACTGACAAATGAATAAAGAAGATGTGGTATATTAATACAGTGGAATATTACTCGGCCATAAAAAAGAATGAAATAATGCCATTTGCAGCAACATGGATGGACTGAGAGATTATCATACTAACTTCAGTAAGCCAGACAAAGACAAATATCAATATGGTATCGCTTATATGTGGAATCAAAAAAATATACACAAATGAACTTATTTACAAAACAGAGGTAGACCCACAGACACAGAAAACAAACTTATGGTTACCAAAGAGGAAAGGGAGGGAGGGATAAATTAGGAGTTTGGGATTAACATATACACAATAATATATATAAAAATAGAGAACTAAAAAAGACCTGCTGTAAAGCACAGGGAACTACAGTCAATATTTTGTAATAACCTATAAGGGAAAACAATCTGAAAAAAATAGATATATTTGTATGTGTAACTGAATCACTTTGCTGTACAACTGAAACACAAATTGTAAATCAACCATACTTCAATAAAAAAAATTTTTAATTAAAATTAAGAAAAGAGTACCTACTTCACAGAGATTGTTATAAAGATTAAATGAGTAAATATATTTAGATGGCTTAAATCTTTCTAATAACCTGGCACATAGAAATGATTAAGTAAATCTTATTTAAATAAGCATTTCATTTTTAATTGAGGTATAGCTGATTTACAATATTATATAAGTTTTAGGTGTACAACACAGTGATTTACAATTTTTAAAGGCTATACCCCATTTATGGTTATTATAAAATATTGGCTATATTCCCTGTGCTGTACAATATATTCTTGCAGCTTATTTTATACATAATAGTTTGTACCCCTTAATGCCCTACTCCTATATTGCCCCTCCCCCTTCCCTCTCCCCATTGCTAAGCATTAATTTGTTTTCTACATCTCTGAGTCTGTTTCTCTTTTGTTATATTCACTAGTTTGTTATATTTTTTTAGATTCTGCATACAAGTGTTATATGGTATTTGTCTTTCTCTATCTGACTTTCTAATAAACATTATACTTGTGAACAGTTTCATATAATCTGTTTGAGTTTTGCTAGGCCTGCTGTAACAAAGTACCACAAACTGGATGAATTAAATAACAGAAGTTTATTGTCTCACAGTTTTGGAGGCTAAGAGCCTGAAGTCAAAGGTGTCAGCAGTGTTGGCTCCATCTGACAGTTTAGAGGGACAGATCTTCTCCAGGTCTCTCTCCATGGTTTGTAGATACCTGTCTTCTCCCTTTGTCTCTTCATGTGATCTTCCCTCTATGTGCTTCTATCACTGTCTCCATATTCCCCCCCTCTTGTAAGAACACCAATCATATCAGATTAGGGCCACCCTAAAGACCTCATTTTAACTTGATCACCTCTGTAAAGACTTTATCTCCAAATAAGTTCACATTCTGAGACACTGGGGGTTAGGATTCCAACATACCATTTTTTGTGGGGACACAGCCTTATTTCAGTATATATTCCCTTCTTTAGCTTCCATTGCCTTATATCCTAACCAAAGCATAAATTAATAACTTAATATTTTTAAATGAGGAAACTTGAACTGAAAAAAAGAACATATGTTTCTGTGGGAAGAAGGTGAGGTAATTGTATGAAGGAGTGAGTGAAATTTAAGTCAGTGAAAATGGAGTTAAATAATTTTGTTATTAATATCATTTATAATTGCTTTTTCTTTAATAAGCAGAATGACAAAGAGAAGTCTCCTGTCATCATTTTTTCCTTTAGCATTTATTCAAAAAATTTTTGTTCATTTTTTAACATTATCCGCAAGAATCAAATCGTTTTAGAAACATTAAGTAAAGTTTATTTTCCCTTTACTGAATCCTATAAGCATTCTAAAACAAAGCAGATATCTCATCTCTTTATTTCCACTTCATGTACAAAAAGCTTTATTTCAGCCTGAAAAAAATAGCCATTTCCAATTTGTATGGTGATTTATGAGGCATATAAAGAACCATTTCTGAGAAAGATGGTAAAATGCTCTTCTGTCAAACCCAGGTAGAAAAGTACATTTGTTCATTCCAATAAGAGTGGGGAAAAAAACAGTGTTACAATTATTCAAAGAAACATTTAGCAAAAATAATTCACTTATATAAGGGGTAAATTAAACATTCTAATAACTGTTTAACCACACATTTTTCTCCTTTAACCTCCTTCACCACCTTGACTTTCATATATATAACTTATATTTATGATGTAACTGTTGAGACAAATAAGGAAATGTCCTGATCTCCATATAGCATTTCCTCAACTAACAAATGCCTCTACAATAATTCCAGCTGAAACAACCAAAATTCCACACCTTATGACTGAATATCAATGTATACTCTTTTAAATATTTATTGTTAAATTATGTTTGAGTACTTAACTATGTGTAAGACTCCATGTAATTAAAGAGAGTACAAAGTTTTCCTTTCACCAAGTGAATAAAATGCTTACTTCTTGAATGTTTGGTAGGATATCCAGCCTCAGTAGTTTATTTAGTAAATTAATATAGTACAGGAATTGGCATTCTTGTTGAAGGATCAAGAAAGAACAAGAGAAAAACTAAAATGATCTGAGGTTCATGTGACTGGGCAGTAGACAGTGTCTTAACTAAAGCTGCCTTTCCCTAGCCTTCAGGGTCTTTAAGTAAAATGTCTACACAGTGGAGTCCCTCTCATTAGATATCTCTGCCGCTGAAAGCTACACTCAGTAGCCACATCATAACAATTATTTGTTGAATTATAATGTGTTCTAAATTTTTTCAGGATTTATTAAATTCATTTTTATAAAGGAAGCATTGATCACCAGGAACAAAGGC